GCATGGAAAGACCGACTTGCATGTGGGAGGCATGAAAGAATCTTGAGTCCTAAGCCCTAAACCCTAAACCCTAAACCCTAAACCCTAAACCCTAAGCCTAAACCCTAAACCCTAAACCCTAAACCCTAAACCCTAAACCCTAAACCCTAAACCCTAAACCCTAAACCCTAAACCCTAAACCCTAAACCCTAACCCTACGTAAACTACAGCGAACAACCATTTAGGAAGGTCGGGGTAAGATGAGGCCGACGCCAAGGTGAAAAACGACACTCAAAGTAGTCCTTAGGCCCAAAAACATTGTAGAGCCTAAGCCCTAAACCCTAAACCCTAAACCCTAAACCCTAAACCTAAACCCTACACGGCAGTTTCATGGGCCCTTGATCTGGTACCTTCCCTTCTTTGAAGGGATCTTATGTATGGGCCTCTTTGGCGGGATCTTATGTATGGGCCCTTGGGCTGTATAGGGTAATATCAGGGTTTAGGGTTTAGGGTTTCGGGTTTAGGGTTTAGGGTTCAGGGGTATACTACCCTTAGATAAGCCCCAAATTACCCTCATGAAACCCTAAACAACATCCTCAATCCGATGCCCCAGTCAAGCTAAGGTCTTAAGTCCGGATTGGTATTCAGGGTTCGGGTTTAGTTTGGACTTTGGGGTTTAGGGGTGCAGGTTCCCTCATACTCCCCACTACTCCCTAAGGCTCCCCAAGCTTCCCTAAGCTTCCGTAAATACCTACCCCCCCTTCCACGCCCTTCTCCCTTAAGAACTCCCTAATCTGCAGGCACCTTGCTACCGCCAGCTGCCCCAGCCATGGAAGACCTCCAGCCGCCTCGGGGATTCAACCCAGGGGTTCAAGCAATAGCCCTGTTGGCAATTGTTTTTTTCATATAAAAACCGAAGGAAAGGTTTTTGTCATATTATGAAAACCGAAGGAATGTTTTGGTAAGGTTTCAGGGTTTGAGGGTTTGAGGGTTTGAGGGTTTGAGGGTTTAAAGGGTTCAGGGCTCAGGTTTAGGGTTTAAGGGTTGAATTCGGGTTTAGGCTTCGGGCGTTCAGGGCAGCTCAGGGTTTAGGGTTTAGGGTTTAGGGTTTAGGGTTTAGGGTTTAGGGTTTAGGGTTTAGGGTTTAGGGTTTAGGGTTTAGGGTTTAGGGTTTAGGGTTTAGGGTTTAGGGTTTAGGGTTTAGGCGTACGGATTGGTATGCCAGTAGCTGTGAAGGTCACCCTTGGACCGATGCCCTGGATACCCTAAATGCCCTTACCCAAAACCCTGAACCCTAAACCCTTAACCCTAAACCCTAACCCAAAACCCTGAACCCTAAACCCTTAACCCTAAATACCCTAAACTCCCCCAAAAAACACCCTGAACTCTTCATTCCCCTTCATCCCGCGCCATCTAAGGCAGCAAAGCAAGCCCAGGGTCAAAGCCAGTCAACAAAATGCATGCTTTTGTTCAGTACAACCTTAAACCCTAAACCCTAAACCCTAAACCCTAAACCCTAAACCCTAAACCCTAAACCCTAAACCCTAAACCCTAAACCCTAAATAAATCCTAAACCCTAAACCCTAAACCACTTTGAGAGTCGCATTGCGGGGAATTCTTTTTGAGGGACGAGGCGGGCTTCCGGGAGCCTCTCGGTTTCCTGGCTTCCAGGGCCTCAAGGTGGTTTAGGGTTTAGGGGGGTTTAGGGTTTAGGGTTTAGGGTTTAGGGTTTAGGGTTTAGGGTTTTATGGCAAAGCAAGTTCCAGGACTGGGCCTGGGTCGGCTGGAGGTTTAGGGTTTAGGGTTTAGGGTTTCGGATTTAGGGTTTAGGGTTTAGGTTTTAGGGTAGTTCAGGGTTCAGGGTGTTGGGTGTAGCAGGGGTTGGGGTAGAAGCTTGACTTCTAAGCCCCAGACTAAACAGGGTTAGGCCTCTAAGCTATGGTTGTTTCGGGTTACGGTTGCAACACGGCCTCATTGCATTCAGGCCACCCCTCAACAGGAACACTATGTCAGGACGGCGCAAATACAGGTAACCCGTACCCAAAACCCAAAACCCTTCTTTCCCTTTCCTCTCCTATTCAAGGTTGCCACGGGTTAGCTTGTCGGCGCTGCCCACAGGCCATGGATTGAAACCTTTATTTGGGTTTCTGATGATTGGGGGTATTCCGCAAACCCGAAACCTTGATCCCTCCGTCTACCGACATTATGGCCTTCAACTAGGGAAGTGCAGAATACCTTTTGGAGCATACAATGCGTTATGCATGTTTTGCTTTATCTTCTTGTGCAAGACAAGGGTTTAGGGTTTAGGGTTTAGGGTTTAGGGTTTAGGGTTTAGGGTTTAGGGTTTAGGGTTTAGGGTTTAGGGTTTAGGGTTTAGGGTTTAGGGTTTAGGGTTTAGGGACAAGAGTGTACTGAATGGTGTAACATGCTGTACGGTGGGTTGCTTCGTTACGCGCAGGCAACCCCAACACGTGTAGCGGCGCTCCCGAAGCCCTAAACCCTAAACCCTAAACCCTAAACCCTAAACCCTAAATCAGGGCCAAGTGCCAGTTCCTTAGGCTTAGATCAAGCTCACTCTTCGTGATTCAACTTGGCCGTTGTGGGTTTGGCATCATGGCAAGCGCACCATGCAGTCTACAGGTTCTCTTTATGTACCCGCAGATCTTCCCTTTAACGGGAGTAGGGTTTAGGGTTTAGGGTTTAAGGTTAGTTCCCGCATTCCCTACTAAGGTCCAGTAAGCCCTGGGTTCGTGCGTGGCAGGCTGATGCTCGACAAGGATCTCACCGCTGCCCCTGGCAGTCCCAATTTGGTGGTCCTACTCGGACTGAGAACCCTAATCCCCAAATCCTAAACCCTAAACCCTAATCACCAAACCCTAAACCCGAAACCCCAAAGGTCTGACTTAGGCTCAGACTTCTGTTGTGCACAATTATGGCCTATGATTCAGGAAGCCTAGGGTTTGGGGCTTAATTAGGGGTTTAGGGTTTGGGCTTTACTGTAGGGTTTAGGGTTTAGGGAAGTGTTTGAGACTACTACTTGTTTTGGACAACCCTTTCGTGACTCAAAGTGAAAGCGGCGGATGGCTCTGGACCCAGTCCCATTAAAGCCCCACATTCGGCCAAAGATGCCGTGATGATACTTGTGCTTCAACTCAGCATGTTCTTCTGACAGTGGAACATGAAAAGATGACTCTCAAGTAGCCTAGGCAGGGTTTAGGGTTTAAGTTTAGGGTTTCGGATTTAGGGTGTGTGTAGGGTTGGGACAACCTGCCCGCCTGTGCTGGGAGCTGATGAGACGTGTGAGGTTGTTGCAAATGGGCTCCTCTAAACCCTAAACCCATACCCGAAACCCTAAACCCTAAACCCTAAACCCTAAACCCTAAACCCTAAACCCTAAACTTCCTCAGGCTACTCCCAAGACCCAAAGCCACAACAGGGCCCCGATCTTCTTGCAACCTCGGCACAGATCGGGCCGGGCGCATGCGGAGAGGAAAAGCTGCTTCTTGCAGAGGGTCGGGAGAGTTTAGGGTTTAGGGTTTAGGGTTTAGGGTTTAGGGCTTAGGGTTTAGGGTTTAGGGTTTAGGGTTTCGGGTTTAGGGGATTTCCCTCACATATTACATCCCTCCCGCCCTCTAACGTCACCTATACTGGGAGTATGTAATATGGCGGGGTAGGGCGCCCCTAAAGTTGAACCCCCCCCCCCCCGGAGATTTTGATATGAGTGGGTGGGGGGGGGGGGTTAATAATGGGGGGAAGGGAGTAACACGTAAAGATTTCAAGCACAACCCCTACAGTGAACCCTAAACCCTGACCCCTAAAACCTACACCCTCGAACCCTTAACCTCAATCCCTAAACCCTAAACCCTAAACCCTAAACCCTAAACCCTAAACCCTAAACCCTAAACCCTAAACCCTAACATAAACCAGATCAAGCCCGCCATTCGCAGAGTCTCCAAGGCTTTAGGGCTTAGGAATATCGTGTTTCCATTGGCTAGTTTTAGGGTTTAGGGTTTAGGGTTTAGGGTTTAGGGTTTAGGGTTTAGGGTTGATAGGTTTGTTGGCGTTTAGGGTTTATAGGGCTCGGAGTCTAGGGCTTTCAGCAGTTGTGTTGTTCTGGTTTCAGGGGGTTTGGAGACCTCAGAGTAGATATACAGGTTTGTTTCGCGTTTAGGACTTCTTCAGGGCTGAAGGTTCCGGATTCAGGGTTAGGGTTTAGGGTTTAGGGTTTAGGGTTTAGGGTTTAGGGTTTAGGGTTTAGGGTTCAGGGTTCAGGGTTCAGGGTTCAGGGTTTTATGGAAGTTTATGGCGTACTTGGCATTCTGATAGGCTTTGGGGGAGGTGTAGGGTGTCGGTGAATAACGAACTTTTGTGCCTGGCGCCTAGACATGGACGCGTATGTGCACCCTGAAAGGAGGGGACCTTTGGGGGTAATTTCGGTTTTTTTTTTGGGGGGGGGGGGGGGGGGGGTATATTTTGGGGGTTATTTCGGGGAATAAGATTAAGGGTCCCTTCTAGGGGTCCGTTTACCCCTTAAAGTCCTTGGCAGCCCAGCATGCTTTCTATTACCCTAAACCCTAAACCCTAAACCCTAAACCCTAACCCCTAAACCCTAAACCCTAAACCCACAGAGCTTTGGTCTTACAAGACCTGCTCCAGATATCGAGTCTTTAGTTCAGGGTCTCCTCTGTCAGGAGCCGCCTTAAGCACCATAAACTCTAAACCGATAACGGCCTAAACCCTAAACCACCTAAATCCCTCAAACATCGAAGCCTATATATCGAAGAACTACCCTCTGCACTAAACCTTAAACCTATACAAAGCCCTAAACCCTATAAAGCCCTAAACCCTCCAACCCACAAGCCCTAAACCCTCAAACCCTCAAACACTCAAACCCTGAAGCCAGGATTTAGGGCTAGGGTGGGGTTTGGGGTTTGGGGCTTGGGGTCTGGGGTTTCAGGATTCATTGTTTAGGAAGCAAGCCCTATGCCTCAGAGCCGGCCACCCCCCCTAAGATGCGTCAGGCCCCAACCGACGGGAAGGGCAAAGGCTATGAGGGCGCGACGGGCTACGCAGGTCCAAGCCCTAAACCCCAGAACCCGCTAGAACCCTGGAGCGCTGAAAACTCGAAAGCCCTCGTTGGTTTAGGGCTTAGAAGAGCCTTATCCCCTCAACTCGTATGAACCCCCTTGTACTGGGTTGCCGACAAAGGAACTTAACTTATGCTACCGACATATGGTTTGCTCAGTTTGCTTCGAACAATAGCAAAGTATGTTTATGTGTTTATGTATGTATATAACGCTTTTATAGGTACATAGACTTTGTGATCAAGTTTTTGGATTGCGGACCTTAACCTGGTAAGCCGGCAAAAGTGACCCTTGAGTTCTATAGGGCATATAAATATACATGTATGTATATATTTATATATATACACACATAGGGTAGAAAGTAGAAAGTTTCACTTTTGTGGGGCCTGCAAGTACTAAGAACAGGGAAGGAGGGAGTTCAGGGATTACTGTACCTCATTCCCTACCAAGAGCCAGCAAGTAAGCGCCCTTGCAACAACTCTCAGACTAGTCCTTTGGATCTCCACGGCGTTGCTTTGGTGCCATTGCCATTGCCTCTTGGGCCGTAGCTGTGGTCCCTGATGGGTTCCGGATTTTAGGAGAAAGCTTTGTGGTTATAAGGGGTTTTAACGGGTTCGGGGTTAGGGTTGTTTTTTTTCTGAAAAAGTTGGCGAGAGGGTTTTCGGGCTTTAGTCGTTTACAAAAGTGTTTCTTCAGGCTCGCGTGTAGATCTGTTCATCTGCGCCCACAGGCTACAGTGGCAAGGGCTACGACGTCGGAAAAGGCTACGATGGCGGAAAGGGCTACGACAGCGGAAAGGGCTACGAAAATGGCAGGGGCTATGATGCTTGGCAACCCAGTGGTACCCTTTTCCCTTTTTTGGTTCAAGGTTCCCTTATAAAGAAACCAACCCCAAAAAAGGTGTGCCCTTATACCCTAAACCTTACAAGTAACCAACCCCAAAAGAGGGTGCCCTTATACCCTAAACCTTCTAAAGTAACAAACCCAAAAAAGGGTGCGCTAATACCCTAAACTTTACAAAGTAACCAACCCCAAAAAAGGGTGCCCTTATACCCTAAGCCTTATAAAGTAATCAACCCCAAAAAAAGTGCCCTTAATGAATATAAATATAGTTACTGGGCTACCAAGGGCCATGATGGTAGAGGCTGGGGCGATGCCGGCAAAGGCTACGGCTTTGATGCCAAGGCGCGACGGGCAGGGTGTGGCTTTAAGTGGTTTTGGTCCAGACGTGCCGATTTCGGGTTTAGTCTATGCATGAGTTCGGATTTTGGGTTGATGGTTTCCTCAGGGGTTGGGATAGGATTGTAAGGACGTATGGACCTGAAAGCCCTAAAAACTCGGATTTTGGGTCCCGGAATGAGGATTGGTCACGGGTGACCCCGACATGCTACTCGTATGTCCTATATATATATAATAAACAAATAAATACATAAATAAATGAAAAAACAAATAAATAAATAAAAATACATATATATATATATATATAGACACCTACATATGCACATGCATATACACACACACACACGCACACCGTGTATAGTCCTTGTAGGCCGAAGTCGTCCCAAAATTGCCCAATCGCCCCAAACCTTGAGCCCCAAACCCTAAACCACACAGCCCCCCCTCCCTCCCCAAATTCCCTTGTGAAAGTCCCTTCGCTTCAGGATAAATCCCAAAACCTCAACCATAAGCCCCAAACCTTAAACCCCAAAGCCGCAGTGGGCTGAGGGCGCAGGTGCTGGACTCCACTTACCGGGTACTTGGAGGTTCATGGTACTTATTAACCAATCATAATTGTACTTATAGCTGCACTTGTAACCATATTAGGGCACTGAAGCGACTTATAAGTGGGGTATAAGTACAGTTCTAGCTGGTTCATAAGTACCATGAACCTCCAAGTAGGCCCTATCTTCTCCCTTCTTGGGTTTCACAGGATCATATTCAGGAAAATCCCTAAACCCTAAACCCTAAACCCTAAACCCTAAACCCTAAACCCTAAACCCTAAACCCTAAACCCTAAACCCTAAACCCTAAACCTGAAAAAAATGGCACTCAACCTGAGCATCGGCTTCAGGGAGTGTTCCTGCGATGTGCATAGGGTTTCGGGCTTCGGGTTTGGAGGTTTAGGGTTTAGGGTTTAGGGTTTAGGGTTTAGGGTTTAGGGTTTAGGGTATAGGGTTTAGGGTTTAGGGTTTAGGGGTTTGTGGGGGGTTTCGGGGTTTTAGTTTTCAGGGTTTTAGGGTTTCGGAATTCGGGCTGAGGGCCAGTTTTGGGCGTCGGGGTTTCTGATGACACTGAACCCTAGAACCTAACAAGCGAAACCCTAAACCCTAATGTTTTGGGCTTCGGGTTTATGATTCAACGAACGATGTTTGAGACATCCGTCTTCGCAAGGGCGGCTACGGCAAAGACAAAGGCAAGGAGAAAGGAAAGGATGTGGCCAAGGGAAAGGACGCAGGAAAAGGCCGCAGGTTTGTCAGTTTTGGGATGTAGGGTTTAGGGTTTTCTACGAATTGCATAAAGACCCCCCCCCCAAAAAAAAAAAAAAAAAACAAAAAAAACAAGAAATGTTCTTCCTTATTAAGGGTAATACACAGATTTACATATTTTCTTTTGGTCTTAACCAAATAGTAGTTTAGGGTCTAGGGGTTGACAGCTTTGTGAGTTTGGGTGTGGTGTCATGAACCAGCCTATGAGCAGCTTTGGCTGTGGCTCAGACCAAGAACACATCTCGCCAACTTCCCCAACTGACGACCCAAAACCCTAAAACTGACAAGTTTAGGGTTAAGGGTTTAGGGTTTAGAGTTAGCAGAACATAAAGGCGCATTGGTCGGGGGAGGGGGGGGGGGGGTGACGGGACCTCATAAGTGTACATGGTCTTGGGCACGTGAGTGAACGGGGGTTTGGCTTGTAAGTGGACCCTCGACACCCCTCTGAAGACCCCCTTCGAGCCTAACAATGGAGATGTTACAGGGTTTAGGGTTTAGGGCTTAGGGTTTAGGGTTTAGGGTTTAGGGTGGGTGGCAACAAACCCTCAAAGGGACATGTTGGGTGGCAAATCATCAACCCCGAAAGGCTCCGTTGGGTGGCAAACACGCAAAGAGATCTTGGGTGGCAGGCCCACAACCCGCAAAGGGCAGGGCTTTCGAGGCACCGTGCTGAACAACCCTAAACCCTAAAGCCCCCCCCAAGACCTTGTGGTCATACCCCTTGAACTTTGATGGACGCCACAGCTTTCAGGCAAAGGCGATGGAAAGGACGGCAAGGGCAAAGATGCCAAAGGCCAGGATTCTGGATCTAGGGTTGAGGGCAAACCGTAAAGCCTAAAGCCGTTAACCCCTAAACTGGAGTCGGCCTGAGACTATGCCGCCAGCGCCGCCCCAAGTCAAGCACGCCATGATTCCGCGAAACTTGTCCAGAACCCTGAGCCCCAACACAGAAATCCCGGCCTCTGGAGGTTTAGGTTTCAGGATGTTGGGGTTTTAGGGCTTACCATTGTCAGAATTTACCTGGGGCCCCTCTTTACCTACAGTTTTTGTGGGTTCTACCTACTAACTCAGGGTAGTTCCTGGGAAGCTGTAGGTAGATAGAGTTGAGGTCGGGCTTAGGGCAAACGATGCCCCCAGGAAAGGGCGACATGAAGGGCGAAGCCAAAGGAAAAGCTGACGGAAAAGGCCAGCAAGGTGCCCCTCACTCTTTGGGCCTTGGGCGGGGGGGGGGGGTGGGGTTTGGGGATTGGGGTTTGGGGATTGGGGTTTGGGGTTTGGGGTTTGGGGTTTAGGGTTTAGGGTGCTTTTTTGCTGTTTTTGTTGTCGGCGTTTAGGGATTCATGTTAATGTTCAGAGGTTGCTGGCTTCCCCCAGGCTTGGCCCCAAAGCCTGAACTCTGAGGACTAAACCGTAAACCCTAAACCCTAAAACTCTAAGGACTAGGGGTGGTTTTGGGTTTTCGGCAAAGAAGCCCGAATCCGGACCCCTGAGCTTTCCAACGCCCTTTTCAGGGTTCGGTGTCTTAGGGTTTAGAGTTAGGGTTAGGGGTTCAGGGAGAAGGTTTGGGGTTGAAGGGTTTGGGGTTTGGGGTAGGGGAATCCCCTATTTTGACTCTGTCTTGGGGGTGTCACGCGCTATAGGGCGGGGGTACAGTATCAGATCCACAGACTGTCCGGGATGGGTCTAGGGTTGGGCTAAACGTGTATCACCTAAACCTCCCTAATCCCCTAAGCCCCAAAATCCCCTACACCCCCTAAGCCCCTAAACCCCGCACCCCCAACCCAAAAACTCCAAAACCCTAAACCCCTAAACCCCTAAACCCTAAACCCTAAACCGTAAACCCCTAAACCCTAAACCCCAAAGCACCTGCCAGGAAAGAAGGGCGACAAGGGAAGCCCAAAAGGCAAAGATGCCAAAGGGAAGGATGCCAAGGGCAAAGATGCCAAGGGCAAAGATGCCAAAGGCGGGTTCAGGGTTGAAGGCTGAGGGTTTAGGGTTTCGGGTTTAGGGTTAGGGTTGAGGGTTTAGGGTTTAGGGTTTGGGGTTTGGGGTTTGGGGTTTGGGGTTTCGGGGTGATAGGGTTCCTCAAAGCCCTAAACCGGTATAGGGTCTAGGTGGGCAAAGGTTTGAGGGGCCCGAAACTTGGCAATTCGGTGATATCTTTCTGTCATCCACCTTTCTGGGTAGCCCAGACGCAAGGCTCAATTTTCGGATCCTCAAATAGGAATTAGGTTAGGATCCTCGAAAGTGATCGTCCTGTAGAGAGACTCGCCAAGCGTCCTGCCCGAGTGCTGAGAGGATATTGCTCACGAGTTAGGCACAACCTCGTATTTTAAGGCCTGTACAATGGGAGGTATGGCTAAAAGGTGTATGTTGTAGGAATCCTCCATCCTTCCAACATCACCCCTGTGCCCTAGTTACATTTTTTCTCTGTTGGCCCTTTTGCCCCCTGTCTCTTAGTAGGGAACGAGGGAATGAGGTACCCTATATATATATATATATACCCTTTAAGGGATTCTATAGGCTACCTCATTCCCAACTGAGAACCAGCCAGTTTGCCGCAGGCAAAGGCAAAGGCAAAGGAGAGAAGGGAAAGGATGGAAAGGGCGAAGGGAAAGGCGGCCGCCGTCGTGGTGGCGGTGGCTCGACACTGAGTCTCCCTGGTTTGAATGTATGGGGCTTAGGGCTTAGGGTTTGGGGCCCGGGGTTTAGGGCTTAGTTTTTACCAAGGGACAGGATCTCTTTCGAAACTGCTTCAACACTAGATCCGAACCCGCCTTTTTCCTCCGAGGTATTCCGAAACCTAGCCGGGAGTTTCGGGCGATTTGGTTCCCCACAAGGTTCCATGCACCTTTGTAGCACAATCGGCTCCACAGGGTGTTTAGGGCTTATATAGGTCTAATAGGCCCAAAGGGTCCACATACATGACATGGAGTATACCCTTAGCCCAGATCCTTTCCCAACAAGTCCATTTCACCCTGAACAGGCCCCCTGGCTTTTATGGGGGTTCTTAAGGGTGGGGGGTTCATGGGGGGTAGGTACCAGCTTAGGCAGCCTGGGGCGTATTCGGGAACCTTTGGTTACATACCCCCCTGTTCACCCCGCTCCCTTAAGGTCCCTATAAGGTGTTTTATTGGGATGCCGCCCCCGATGCTTGAACAGCATTGCGTCCCTTTGTCGTAAAACTGTGCTCAACCTATCGCGGACAACTTTGGTCAGGCGAACGGCTAGATAAAGCCACCGCAGCACACGAAGCTTGGAGCGTTTCTTGCCTTCCATCGATGCGCTTGATTGGACCGATTTTGCCGAGTTCGCCTTCGGCACCTGTGGCCTCGACATCACGGTAAAGTTGTGCCGGCACGTTCGGAAAGAGCATTCTCCCGGCAAAGACTGCGCAAGGGGCGTGGTCTGCAAGCGCGAGGTGTGGCAGACGCCCTCCTGTGCCGAAGGCGAGCAAGATGCAGGACAAGCCGCTGATCGGTATCAGGATGGTCAACCCTCTTTCGGGGCTGGCTCCGCCCGTGGGGAGTGCGGGGAGGGTTTAGGGTTTGGGGTTTGGTGTTTAGGGTTTAGGGTTTAGGTTAAGGGTTTAGGGCGCCACATCAGGTAAAATCCAAACTCCACCCTCTTTGCATGGTGCTATGGGGAGCTGCCGGGACGGGGACGAGCCTGTCAGAACCATAAACTCCCAATTCGAAGCTTCAGGGTTAAGGGTTTCTTGTGCAATCTGTAGGGTTCATGGGTTACCACTAAACACCTTTACAAAAAACCCTAACAACCCTGAAGCCCTATAGCCTATAGCCTGCAAGTCCTAAGAAAGCCATAAACGAAATCCGAAACGACAGCCCTCGGAATCTAAACCTAAACCCTAAGCCCAAAGCCCAAAGCCCAAAGCCCAAAGCCCTAAGCCCTAAGCCCTAAGCCCTAAGCCCTCAACCATCCTTTGAGCACCAGGCAACGGCATCGTTGGGGAGCTTTTGCCGGAGGCCGGTCCGTCGGTGGCCTTCAGCTTGGGGGTTTGGATTTGGGGGTTCAGGGGGGGTTAGGGTTTAGGGTTTTGGGGTTCTGGGGTTTTGGGGTTTTGGGGTTTAGGGTTTAGTTTCGGGTTTAGGGTTTAGGGTAAGGTTTAGTTAGGGTTTAGGATTCTGGGGTTTACGGTTTATAGGGGTTAGGGTGTAGGATTTGGGGGTTCAGCGGGTTTAGGGTTTAGGGTCTTGGGGTTTTGGGGTTTGGGGGTGTAGGGCGTAGTTTGGGGTTTTGGGTTTAGGGGTAAGGGGTTAAGGTTTAGGGTTTAGGGGTTAGGATTTAGGATTTGGGGGTTCAGGGGGTCTATGGTTTAGGGTTAAGGGTTTAGGGTTTTGGGTTTTGGGGTTTTGGGTTTAGTGTTAGGGGTTAGGATTCGGGGTTGAGGGGGTTTGGGGTTTAGGGGTGTTTAATGTTTAGGGGCATAGTGTTTAGGGTTTCAAGCGTGGATTTTGGAGTTCATGAAGGTTCATGGTTGGATATCAGCAGTGTTCATCAATGCTTCTTTTTAGCCTTACAACTACCCATGTACCTTTAAGGAAGGCGGTGTGTCCAGCCTCGTCCCTAACGTTGACTGCAACATCGACGATGGGTTGCTGGTGTCGGTCTAAACCCTAAACCCTAAACCCTAAACCCTAAACCCTAAACCCTAAACCCTAAACCCTAAACCCTAAACCCTAAACCCTAAACCCTAAACCCTAAACCCTAAACCCACACCCTAACCCCAAACCCCAAACCCCAAACCCCAAACCCTAAACCCTTAACCCTAAACCCTAAACCCTAAACCCTAAACCCTAAACCCTAAACCCTAAACCCACGCCCTCTGGGTTGAAGCGGTTTGCCGCAGCCCCCCCAGTTCGTTTGTGAAGTGGCTTCGTCTCCATTTATCTCACGTGCAGAAAAAGAGGGCGTTCCTGAGAGATTGATTAGGACGGATCCATGCAAGCCGAAAATGGCCACTTTGGTCCCAGGGCCCAGAGATTCAGAGCGCTCACGTGTGTCCACTTCAGGACCACACGACGAGGTCATGGTGACCGTATGCCGAATGGCGGGTCCGAATCCACCTTTGCTGGGATCATCGCGCATTGTCTCCATGGGCGAATATCGCATAAAATGCCTCAATGCCCGTCTCCTTGCCAAGATCACAACACCTTGAACCCGACACCCTAAACCCTAAACCGATGCCGCGTAACTTTTTAGGCAAGGCGCCGGGCCCCCTCAACCCCAAATATCCCACAGCCCCTGAACCCTAAATGCCTCGGCCTTAGGCTTCAGGACTTACGGGTTGAGGGCTCCAGTGTGTAAGTAGTTTCTCACGCACCTGGAGAGCCCTCCATGAAATCGTCTAAAAAAACACAAAGCCAAACCATTGTACGACCCCTTCGACAAGACCTAACACCCCTAAAAGCCCTAAAGCGACCTTTCACAATCCTTAAGCAAAATAGGTTCGCAAAGAACCTTCAGAAAAGACTCGGCCTGTGCAGGAGAATGCCGACACTAAGCGCCAGTATGCCGAGGCTGCACCCCCTGACAAGGGCTTGAATGGTCCCTATGCTTGCTGGTTTAGGGTTCGTAGTAGGGGATTCGGGAAGTCCGTACCCTGTATCCCCCCTCATTATGTATGTAGATATAGATATATATATATATATATGTACACCTGTGAAGGGGTCATTGATAGGCTACTAAGAACCAGTGGGTTATATTATTGGGGTGCTTGAGGGAGGAGTGAGGGGGGGGGGATGGGGTTTAGGGCTCTACGAGACATATTGGGTCCCTCTCCATTCTGGATGTAAAGCCTAGGTTCCCTTCTCTGTTCTTTATCAGGCTTCCGGAACTCCCTCGTATTGCAGCAACTCCCTGTTCAGGCATTCTGGACCGCAATCCCTAAACCCTAACCCGAAAACCCTAAACCCTAAACCCTAAACCCTAAACCCTCCTGGGGGCTTTGGTTGGGACCCAGGTCACACACAGGTCAGACGCATCTAGGTGGGTTGGGGCTTTGGTGCTTGCAGGCCAAGGTCCCTCTGCGCCTGGAAATAGCTGATATAGGGTTAGGGTTTAGGGTTTAGGGTTCAGGGTTTAGGATTTAGGGTTTAGGGTTCAGGGTGTAGGGTTTAGGGTTTAGGGTTTAGGGTTATATACTTAGTGGTGAGAACTTTGTTAAAGAGACCATAAGGATTGTTCTTAAAGTGGCTATTGGAGGAGTGGAGTTCTGAAGCACACGATTCCCAGAGTCCCAAACCAAAAACCGTCTCAGTTTACACCTTAAGCCCTCAGCCAGCCCTCGGAAGTATAGGGCTAAACTGAGCTTTTCCTTTCACTTTAAGCCTGGGACCCGGAGTAGGCCCGTATTTCCTTGTTTTAGGGTTGGGGTTCCATAAGCCCCTTTAAACCGAAAAGGGCACCCTTTTTGTTCCTAGGCTACTCTTTGGGTCACCCTAAGCCCTAAACCCTAAGCCCTAAGCCCTAAACCCTAAACCCTAAATCCTAAACCCTTTTTCTTCCCAGGTTACTCTTTGGGTCTAGAAGCTCTGAGCCTAAGCTCAGCTTTTCCAAGCACACGACCCTTGAAAAGGACTTCGACTTCGCGTCGTCTGCGCAGAAGTTTGACAAGGTCTTGGCAGATGTTGGGTTTTCGAAAGGGTTTAGGGTTTAGGGTTTAGGGGTTTAGGGGTTTACGGGTTTAGGGGTTCAGGGTTGAGGGCTTAGGGGTTCAGGATTGAGGGGTTTAGGGTTGAGGGCTTTGCGGATTAAGCGGACTTGAGGCCTTCTTCGGTTGCAGCGTTGAGGGTTTCAAGGTATCAAGGGATTACGAGTCGTGCAACGAAGGTTGTACCCCCAAAGATTCCCCTCAATATGCTCCTAATATGGCCCTTATACTACCTTAAGGATCTTGAAGGAAAGTTCCCCAACACCTAACGGAACCCTAAACCTTAAACCCGAAACCCTAAACCCCAATGTCGACAGAGCCCTGAAAAGCCCGGTATTGGGAATCAGGTTTCACTTAATGAGGCCACTTAGGTGACTGTCAGGCTCTACTTGGAGGTTCAGAGCACTTACAACCCCAACTATCATTCTAAGCCCCCTAAGTTCCCTAAGTAGATTATAGGTAGACTTATACTTGAGGTTACAAGAACCCATGAACCTCCAAGTACGGGCTGCAGCAATCAGCAAAAGGTCTCAGGTTTGGGGTTGAAGGCTTTAGGGCTTTAAAGGTTTCAGGTTTCGGTCTTTAGGGTTTAGGGTTCAGGGTTTCGGGTTTAGGGTGTCGGTTTTAGGGCTTCGGGTCTGGGTTGAAGGCTTTGTTGGCGGTCTCCTTCCTTGATCCGTTTAGGCCTCGGGGCGTAGGGGGTTTAGGGCTCAGGGTCAGGTTAAGGCTTCGGTCGGAAAGGTCGGTGATGTGGAACAAAGGGGATCATCAACTACCATGCCAAGCCCACACCGCGCACAGACACAAACGATCCAAACCAGGATGGGCATACTCGGCCTTCTTTTCCCCATAATCAACCCTATAAAGGGCCTTTTTTAAGGGGTTATAGGGTCTAATAGCCCATCCTGGGAGAGACATAAGCAGCTCCTGCGCACGCCAAACCCTAGACCCTGAGCCGCAGAAGCCCTCAGCGAAACGTGCCTTTCAGAGGTCTCGGATGAAGACCTCCTAAAGCCTCTGGAAGGCTCGCAGTGCTTTGGTTTTTGTTGAGCTTATCTTAAGCGACACCTTCTTCGCAGGGAGCTAGCGACAATAAGACAGTTTTGCGAATCCTGAACCCTAAACCCTCAACCCTACACCCGACACCTTCAACCATCAGTCTTGCCCGAGATTTGAGGGCTTTGTCTAGGGTTGGGTTGAGCGTTTCTCCCTAAACCTAAACCCTAAACCCTAAACCCTCGTTGCTTTTTGGGTGCTGGAACCTGGCCCCCCAAGGGTTTTGAATGTTGAAACCCCCAATGTTGTGCCCAACCCTATTTAGGGTTTAGGATTTAAGGTTCAGGGTTTAGGGTTTTGTGTTTTCGGGTTTCGGGTTTAGGGTTTAGGGTTTAGGTAGTTTATGCTTTATAATGAGGAACCCTCCTGGGGATCTGCCTTCCAACTTCTGGGAAGCCAGATGGGAATTCAGCTGTGGGCATCTATTCAACTTCTCCCCCTTGTGTAGCGTTAAGCACGCTGTTGTCCCTAAACCCTAAACCCTAAACCCTAAACCCTAAACCCCTAAACCCTAAACCCTAAACCCTAAACCCTAAACCCTAAACCCTAAACCCTAAACCCTAAACCTAAACCCTAAACCCTAAACCCTAAACCCTAAACCCTAAACCTTTTGTTTACTTGATAGTGTGTGTATGGGGGTTGAGACGTGTTGTCTCAAATCCGGAATGGACGAGTTCATGTCATCGGTGCCCTAATTGGGGGCACCTTTGGGGTTTAGGAGTTCACGGTATACTGTTTAGGGTTTAGGGTTTGGGATGTTTGGTTTAGGGGTCAAGGGTTTAGGGGTTTGGGGCTTTAGGGCCAAAAAAAGAGAATTTGTCGTTGTGGCGTGTTCGCGACTGCTGTTCGGCTCAAGCGACTCTACTTTTATTGCCTCCTAGGACCGGGAGTAGGCCATGTTTTCCTTTTGTTAGGGTTGGGGTTCCCTTGATAATCTCCTTAAAACCAAAAAGGGTACCCTTTTCATTCCTAGGTTACTCCCGGGTCTAGCCTCCGTGTTCTACCCCACAGTGAGTCGGTCAAGAAAACTGCGCCGCTACAACGCGCCTGCTGAAGCCGACGTAGAGCATCAGGGGAGGTAAACCCTAAACCCTAAACCCTAAATCCTGAGCAAAATCGCAGCAACCAAGCAGAGCCCCCCCAGGACCAAAAGACCTGGAAACCAAGATTTGAGGGCATCCTCGGTGTCCACCCCCAGCTCCCATGCAGGGGGCCGCTGCTGGTAGGGCTCGAGATGCTCCTCGAGGTTTCTTCTGGGCTATCTGGGTGGAAACGGTGCAGCTTCGAAATCGATGGATGTGCACTCCAACCACGTTCGATTCAGGAACAAGGGAAGCGACCATGACAGTGGAAACTGCAAACCTTCTCCTGGGCCGCAGCTTTGCTGGGTGGACGGAGTGCAACCCGAACCCTAGTCTCTGTGAAGTGTCCTGTTCTCCCTAAACTGGCCCTAAACCCTAACTAAACCGTAATGGAACCCGAATTAAGCACTGAATTGAGCCTTAGACACTGATGGAACCAAAATCAAACCCTATGCCCTTCTTGAACCCGAAATTTAGTTTTGGAGCCCTCTGCTTCCCGGAGGCTACAACAAGGGCAAGTCCTTTTTTGACAACATCTCCTGCGAGGCCGCAGTGGGGTCGTGGTACTTAACAACGAATTAGAAGTGTACTTAGATCATTATAATCCACTTACAAGCCCCTTCATTACTCTAGTATGGTTAGAATTGGGTTATAAGTGCAACCTAACCCTAAACCCTAAACCTACACTTTCGTTTAGGGTTTAGTTTAGGGTTTAGGGTGTTCTAGGCGTCTTGTTGAAGCCTACAGTAGAAACTGAAAAAGTTGGAACATCTTTGTCCCCATACCCCAGAAGGTATCCTAAAGGGAATCCCGGCTCTTACTCATCTTCAAACCATGTTCCAACTAAACCCTAAACCCCAAACCGTAAACCCCAAGCCCTAAGCACTTTATGGCTCTTATCCCTCAAACGCCTAAAGCTTCAGGGGCTTTAGGAGCTGTTAGCAACATGTTTCCACCCCGTTGCAAGCAGCTCATTGATTTAGAAAAGCAAAAAATGTGTAGAGACCACCCTAAAACCCTTATAAACCCTGTAAGACCTACTGGCGCGTGAGCCTCACAAGGGGCGCGAGGCTATTAACCTCATCCAGACGATTCACCCTTTAAACCACCTGAACCCAAACCTTATCAACCCTAAACCCTAAACCCTAAACCCTAAACCCTAAACCCAAACCCTAAACCCTATCATACTTCAACCTCAAGCCCAAAAACGCGCAAGTAGGTACATGGGCGCTCAACCCAAGAACCCTGAACTGCCCTAAAGCCTAAAACCTTAAACCTAAGGCCCTCCCCTAAGGCCCTAAAACCCTAAAGCCCTAAAACCCCAAAGCCCTAGAACCTTAAAGCGCGAGAGCCCTAGAACCCTGAAGGCCTGAAACTCTAAAACCCCAAAAGCCTACACCCTACAAACCCCAAACGCCTTAAGCAGCTCACATTTAGGCCCATGGGCCCTTATCTACTATTTGCTTAAGAACCCCCAAAAAATAGAAGTGTTCCTCCTTATGAGGGCAAAATAGGGATTGCTATTATTTGTTTATTTATGCATTTATTTATTTGTTATTACTGTTTTTTTCTTTGTTTGTCCTGTTTTTTTGGGGGTTCCTAGGCAAACAGTAGATTAGCAAGGGAACCATTAGGGATACAACCTTAGGGGTGCGAGTCCTAATTTAAGCAAATAGTAGGTACAGGGCCCAAAACCCTAAACCCTAAACCCTAAGTTACTCCTGGGTCTAGGTAGTTTGGGGCATGTGGTCTCCCGAGGCCACAGAGCGAACCGGAGAAGCCGGCCGACAACGGGCCGACCGGGACAAGGCAATCCCAAAGGTGGGTTTTAAGGTTATTCTAGGGTTTAGGGTTTAGGGTTTGGGGTTTAAAGCTTGTTTTTTATTTTGTGTGTGTGTGTGTGTGTGTGTGTGTGTGTGTGTGTGTGTGTGTGTGTGTGTGTGTGTGTGTGTGTGTGTGTGTGTGTGTGTGTGTGTGTGGGTGGGGTCGGGGGGGGGGGGGGGGGGGGTTGTTTGGGCTTTAGATTGCAGACTTGTCTTTTTGGTGGCTTCTTCTTTCAGACCTTTCGAAAGGCTTTGTTTTTAGGCTTCCGCCTCTGGAGCCAGGATCCCCGCAAGAAGCTGCTGATGAGGATGTCCTGTTTGCCATTTGCTTTGGGGCAGCGGTTTAGGGTTTAGGGCCTTAGAGTTTAGGGTTTAGGGTTTAGGGCCCTCGTTTTTGTTCTGGGTTTTGCTCGGGTTTAGGACCTTGAGTTCGGGTGGTACCCCCTATTGTACACCCAAAACACCCTAACACTATCATTCCTGAAAGTAAGGGCCCCCGAACCCTCAACCCTTAAGGCCCTTAAGCCCTAAACCCTTAAACCCTCAAACCCTCAAACCCTAAACCCTCAAACCCTACTCTTGCGTAAGTCGCCATGCGTACCCTGGCCTTTTTGCGGTTCCAGGTAGTCATCGAAGGATGTTTCAGCCTAGAGCCTAAAGCCTGAACCCGAAACCCTAAGCCCTAAGCCCTAAGCCCTAAACCCTAAACCCCACGGGGTGCCCCGCGTGGTAATCTGTTCCCCGTTCGTTTATGGGTCATGACTTCGGGTTGGCAGCGGCTTAGGGTCTAGATCTCTAGGTGTATGAGTCCATGAGGCTAGAAAGGGTGTAGGGTTTGTAGGGGTTGGGTTTTAGTATTTCTGGGTCTATGAGCCTCCAAAGAGCCTAAAGAAGGTAATATTTGATTAACTGTAGACTTCAGACCCCCATGCAGGTACTATTTGTATGCGTGGAGAACAAGGGGTTGCTGGGGAACCCGAATTAAAGCCGCAGATACCATATGTCGTCCCTATATACCCAAGTAGCCCCGAAATAACCCCGAAAGAGCCCTTTAAGGTCCCTAATAAGGCTCCCTCCCTAAAGAACCCCTAAGGTCCCTTGTAAAGGTCCCTCCCTAAAGAACCCCTAAGGTCCCTTGTGAAGGTCCCTCCCTAAAGAACCCCTAAGGTCCCTTGCAAGGGTCCCTCCTTTAGTCCCTTGGACCTTGCGAGGCCCGGGAAGCGGACGCTGCAGCCTTTGGCGATGCTAACGCCCGCCGTGGCAAGGCCCCGGGAGTTTCAAGGGCTGCAGCTTGGGATGTTCCCCCTTATGCTAGGGTTGAGGGTTTAGGGTTGAGGGTTGAGGGTTGAGGGTTTAAGGTTTATGGTTTAGGGCTTAGGGTTTAGGATTTTAGGTTGGGATGTTCCCCCTAAAACTAGCAGTCCTTAGTAGGGAGTATAGTACCCTCTAGGATGCCCGATGCGCAACAGCCTTCACGCCACTCTGCACCTGCCAGAAAGGAACGCAGCATGACCTGAAGCATTCTTTGCTTGTAGGCTCGTTCCCGCTTTGCCCTGCTACAGAAGCAGGGATTCGTCGGGTTTTCGAGGCCCTCACAAGTAGGATACTCCCTATAAATGACTGCCAGTATAATTGGGGAGAACATCCCAAGATGTAGCGTGTTTTTTTCTGGTTTTCGGGGCGAAGGGGCTTAGGCTTCAGGAGTTCAAGTGGGTGTCTAGTCCAGCTTTGCTTCGGGTTTTACTTGGGGTGCAGGTTTAGCTTCACCTGATCCGTGTGTGCATTCGTTCAAGGATTCAGGCTTTGGGGTTCCCACCTCTACAGACTACTATTTAACCCCCCCCTTCCCCTCATATTAAATACCCCCCTCCGGGTTCGAAACATCTAAGACTGCAAACCCTAAGCCCTAAACAAGGAACTGATGTCTTGGTGGTGGTGGTGGTGGTGGAAGCGAAACGCCTAAACCCCCCTTGCAGTAAAAAGCCCAAAGCCACGAAACCTTAGAAGGTGTTAGGGTTTAGGGTTTCGGGTTTGGGGTTTGGGGTTTAGGGTTTAGGGTTTAGGCCTAAAGCAGCAAAAGCCCCCACCAGAAACCTAAAGCCCCGAAGCTTAAGGCCCTCCCCCCCGCCCTACGCCGCCAAGTTTCGTCTCAGAAAGAAACCCCACAAAGACACCCAAAACCCCCATCAACCCCTATTTATCCCTTCAGGAGGCCGAGAATGTGATCCCCCTAGCTAAGAACACCCAAAACCCCTAAGCCCTAAACCCTAAACCCTAAACCCAGGGGCAGCGGAAGGGCCGAAGCTAACAGAGCAACGCGCTCGGATGGCCGAGGTTGTGGTTTAGGGTTTGGCTTCTATTTGGTTTCTTAGGGTTTAGGGTTTAGGGTTTAGGGTTTAGGGTTTAGGGGTTAGGGTCCAGGGTTTCGGGTGTTAGGTTGAAGGGCTTTAGGGTCTTGGGGCTTTAGGACTTAGAGTCTAAGGTCCTGGATATTGGCGTCTCAGGGTTTGAGGGATTCTAACGGGGCCATCTTTGGCGGGTAGTGAGGATTTGTGGACAAGATATATAAGGAAAGCCTAGGGGTAGAGGGTGCAGCAGCAGGAATAGCCCTGAAGCAACCGTAAATATGCTCCCACAAGCTCTAGCTGATAAGTCCTGCACTGAACTCTAGAAGCTCCTGAACTTCGCCAGAAACCCGACAGGTCACGACCCCAAGCCGCCAAAACCCTAAAACCGCAAAACCCGTAAAACACTTAGCAGCCCTAAAGCCCCGAAACACGGGTCTAGTCGGGCCTTGTTGTTTCAATATCCCTAAATCCTAAACCCTAAGCCCCTAAACCCCTGAACCCCTGAACCCCTGAACCCCTCAACCCCTCAACCCCTCAACCCCTAAACCCCTAAACCCCTAAACCCCTAAACCCCTAAACCCCTAAACCCCTAAACCCCTAAACCCCTAAACCCCTAAACCCCTAAACCCCTAAACCCCTAAACCCCAAGCCCCAAACCAAGAACAGCCAGAGTGCCCCGATCTGGCTAGCGGGGTTCCAATTCCAAGTTTCCGAACTGTATGAGACACGTCATTGTTGATATTTCTGCAAAAGCATCTCCCCCCCCCCCCCCCCATCCCCAAAGCATCCCAAACCCTAGAGAACCCATAGAACAAATCGAAAAATGTCTTAAATCTTATGGAACCTCCAGGCCCCTCAACTACCCTAAGCCTCCCGAAGGCCCTAAAGCCCTAAGGCCTGAACGCCCGAAACCCCATGTAGCCCTATTAAGGTCCCTAACCTGCCAGACCTTGAGAAATGACCCAAATAAACAACCCATAGAACCTACTACCTACGAAACCCTAAACCCTCAACCCTAGACCCTAAACCCCAAACCCCAGACCCCAGACCCCAAACCCCAAACCCCGAACCCCAAACCCTAAACCCAACCCCCCCCCCCCCAATAACCCGAGCGGTCCGACTCAAGGTTGCCCCCCCGGCACTGATCTCCGCGCTGCTGCTGGCAGCTGACCGTGCTTTAGGGTTTAGGGAAAAGGGTCTAGGGTTTCGGGTTTAGGGTTTAGGGTTTGCTACATAGGGTTCTATACCTGAAAGTTTAGGCCCTTTAAGTGTACGGTTTTGGGGGGTTTTAGGGTTTCAGGGTTTGGGGGTTTTGGGTTTGGGGTTTTAGGGGTTTAGGGGTTTTTGGGTTTTGGGGTTTTATGATTTTAGGGGTTTAGGGCTAAAAGTGTCGGGGTTCGGGTTTGGGGTATAGGGCTTAGCAGAGTTGGAAGTTTCGTGGCTTTGGGTTTGACGGTTCTTTGGAGGCTACAGGGTTTACAGGGACATAATAGGTTTTACAGGGGTATTATGGGGAGATTATAGGGGTTATTGGGATATTATAGGGTTTATCGGGATATTGCAGGGTTTAGAGGGCTTACGAGTACCCTAAGTGCGTTCAGCTGGGACCACGAGCAGATCTGTGCCGTGCGCTTCGCCAGTTGCTTCTGGGGCTAGGGGGTTACGGGCTACAAGGAGCCTTGCCTCCCCTGCCCCCTTACTATACTAGGTATGGATTTGGTGTTTTTGTTGTTTTTTTTCCATTTCCCTTATGGTTTAATGTGGTGCCCTAGTTGTAAATAATTTTGGGGACTGTTGACATCGACACCTAGCAGAAACAACTTCTATCGTAGGGGGACTTCGAACCTGAGTCATTATGCTACATAGAACAGAACTTCGAACCCATTTTGTACACTCCACTTATCTCTCTAGGGTTTATGCAGTAGGGTTTGGGGTTATGTCTGTGGCTGGGGGAAGGGTGGGCCTAAACCCTAAACCTGGACCCTGCAGCACATTGCACCTTAACCAAACTAGACCCGTCCTTCTGACCCTTCATGGGGGTCCTTGCAAGCCCTAAACCCTAAACCTCAACGGAGGAACACCAGGCAACAGTCACCTGATCTGGCAACTTCAATCGCTGATAGCTTGTTTGCCTTATGGCATCCTTCGTGTCTATCTCTAAAGCTACCTCCGAAACAGGTCTAGTCACTTCAGTATACATTTAAATCTGTGTCTGGAACAAGTTAAGCCCTAAACCTTAAACTCTGAATCCTAAATCCTCTTTCCTCAGCCCTACCCTAGAAAGGTTAAGGAGAGGAGCACCCGGAACTCCCCCATCCCTGACAACTGGAAGTGGCGCACTTCAGAACAGCAAGAACGCCTGAACAGGGAGCGAGTGGAAGTCAAAGTCCCGTCGCCGATGGACTCCCTAAGGTTCTGGTTTAGGGTTTAGGGTTTAGGGTTTAGGGTTTAGGGTTTAGGGTTTGGGGTTTGGGGTTTAGGGTTTCTAGGGTTTGTAGTGTTTCGAGGGCTTCTAGGGTTTCTAGCATTCTGCTTCGACATAGACATGTCACCACGTGCACATAATTCCATGATGATGTACCACATGATCTCTACACCCCATGTGTGGTGCGGTTCCCTCAGGCTCCATGTACGTAAATAAGAACACAATACTTGGGATTGAACGGACTTGCTATAAGGGACTGTGGGACCCAAGTAAATAATCTTAAGCCACCCTCAACCCTAAAACCGAAACCCTAAACCCTAAGCCCTAAACCCTAAACCCTAAACCCTAAACCCTAAACCCTAAACCCTAAGCCCTAAGCCCTAAGCCCTAAGCCCTAAACCCTAAGCTTGACGGCAGCCACTCCACCTTTTCCGAGACGTTTTGAGCGCGAAGACGTCGATGCACACCGAAGGGGGCTGAAGAAGCAGTCCATGCTGCGACCCAACTGTCCTCCCCTAACAGCAGGTTGTTTTCTTTGTGGTACTTTACTATAACTTTAGATCCTTACCTTTTTGGGGTTTATTGGGTTTCTTATTAAGGCAGCCAAAAATTTGATTTATAGCTACCCTCCTGAGTGCAGCCAAGTTTTTGACCTCAATAGGGATCCTAAACCCTAAGCTCTAAACCCTAAGCCCTACTAACCCTGGGGGTTTTACCAGATGTGCCGTTTGTTTCTTCGGTTGTGCAGGCTGGTGTAGCTGTTGAACCTGAAGCCCAACCCCCGTGGGTTTATAGGGTTAAGGGTTTAGGGTGGACCTTCAATCCCTAAACACTATCATGAAGCGCCAAGTAGCGGTAAAACCCTAGGGTTAATAGGGTTTAGGGTACCCGAACAAAGGGCGACTTGACCATAAACCCTAAACCCTAAACCCTAAACCCTAAACCCTGACTAGGGAATGGCTGCACCTTTTGGCCCGCTGTGGGCTCCGGGTTCTCCTACACGAGCAGCCAATACCCCTTATAGCATGGATACTGGGCCAGCCAGAATAAACACGTCCCTAATGCCCGTAAACCATAAACCCTAAACCCGCAACCCTAAACCCTAAACCCTAAACCCCGGCTCTCGGCAGCAGCCCCTCCCCCACACATGGGGTCTGAGGCGGAGTCCGGACGAACCCTGCCTTCTCCTTCGAAAAGCCCGTAGGCTTGTAACTTTGGGCTACAGCTCCCTTATTTTGAGTTTAGGGTTTAGGGTTTAGGGTTTAGGGTTTAGGGTTTAGGGTATCTTTCACTACGAACCCTACGCCCCAAGCCCGAAGCCAAACCTATACCGCGCTGAAGTGGACCTCAAGACGTTTGGAGATGAGAAGTAGAAGGGCTGAGGGCCTATGCCCTAGCAAGGGTTTAGGGTTTAGGGTTTAGGGTTTAGGGTTTAGGGTTTAGGGTTGAGACCCCAAACCCGTGAGCCCTCAACCCCCCACTATGCGCCGAATGCTTGGGGCAAAACCAAAAGTTTTCTGTACCAATCTCCCCAAACCCTAAACCCCATACCCTAAACCCCTTGTTCACCCGAAATATCGGTTTAGCATTTCGGGCTTATGTACACCGGAGAGACCCTCAACCCTAAAACCTCTAGGCTCAGAACTCTACTATGCACACATAGATTCTACATCAAAAGCCCGCAAAAAGAAGAGGAAACACAAACATAAATATATAATGTAAACTCAAAAATGCCTTTCCAGCAGCCCCAGAAACGCAACGATAGGTCCTCCTCTGGATCCCACGGCACCCGCCTCACCACGGCCTACAGCCTGCAGACGCCGCTGACTCGCTCAGAGGTTTTGGAGCATCCCGGAGCTTTATAGAGGAAGAAGGGTGTAGGTAGGGTTCAGGGTTTAGGGTTTAGGGGTTTAGAGGTTAGGGTTTAGCGGTTTAGGGGTTTAGGGGTTTAGGGTTTAGGATTTTAGGGCTGTTGGCGTTATAGTCGTTTTAGGGTTCAGGTTTACATAAGGGTTTGGGTGTAGGGTTTAGGGTTTAGCGTCCTAGGGTCCTGGGGTTTAGGGCTCATCAGGGTTTATAAGGCTTTCGAGTTTAATTATAAGGGTTTAGGGTCCTAGGGTTTTGGGTTTCAGGGTCCTGGGGTTTAGGGCTCGGGTTCCTATAGGGTCTTATAGGCTCGTAGGGTTAAGGGTGCAGGGGTGGCAGGGCAGGGTTGGGTGGGGGGGGGGGGGGGGGGGGGGGTGGTAAACCCTAAGCCCCAGACCCCAAGCCTCTTCTTATGGCCGCTTGGTGTTGAGTTTAGGTTTGTGGGCTATTGTGGGCTGAGGGGGTGTTGATGGTTTTCGGAGTTCAGCGGTCTACGTAGACGCTTGAAATGGTCGTAATGGCTAGCGGCTAGCGCTTTGAGTAGGACTTTGAGTAGGATTTCGGGCAGGAAAATCTCGACAAAGGGATCCACATTTAGAATGTAACCCCCGAGAAGCCTGAACTAAAGGGTCTGTGGAAGGGGTGTCGGTTTAGGGTCTTGGGGCTTCG